GTTAGTGTTGGAGTGGGTAGTGAATGACTGATTTAATAAAGACACAAAAAGAGATTCAATAAATCAAAATGCATTACAGTTAAAAACTAAATGACAAGTGCTACTACTTTCCTCAGTCATCTGGTTTTATATACTTTGACTTTGTCCTTTCACTCACTGTCTGTTCTCTAGAAAAGGAACATTTTAGGGGCGCCTGGGTGGCGCAGTCGGTTAAGCGTCCGACTTCAGCCAGGTCACGATCTCGCGGTCCGTGAGTTCGAGCCCCGCATCAGGCTCTGGGCTGATGGCTCAGAGCCTGGAGCCTGTTTCCGATTCTGTGTCTCCCTCTCTCTCTGCCCCTCCCCCGTTCATGCTCTGTCTCTCTCTGTCCCAAAAATAAAAAAAAAAAAAAAAAGTTGAAAAAAAAAGAAAAGGAACATTTTAGGAGGATAACCCAGGATCTCTGCTGCCATGGACCTGAATCTCAGTGGACAGGGTATGACTTGTGGATGATTGCAGCCTTTGGTTGAGAGTGGGAATAGAAGTGATTAAGGACTGTGAAAGGGTGATTTTATGGAACTTTGAGAGAGGTCAAGCTTGCAGTGATAATTTAGAGATGGAACAGAAGGAAGGTCTGCAGAAGGTGCTGGGAAAACTTACAGGTTCATGAAGCAGGGAATGAGAATGAAGGTTGTAGAGGTTCATTGCAAATTCAGCTGCCAGTTATCATGTCTCATTCAAAACTCCATGTGTTAGGGTTACCACTGAGTGGGAAGGGACAAATCCTACCCCCAGGCATTGGGCCTGGTGAAGTGGCAGCAGAATTCCTTTTCCACTGAAACTATTGGTTAAGTGCCTAGCCTTCTTGTTCTTTTTTCTCTCCTAGCTTTGTTTATGATGCTAATGAGGAGAGTAGGGACTGGAGTGGTGGCTTGAGTACTTCAGGTGACACATTGACAACTTTGTTTTATTTTCTTTATGGATGTTCAAATATGTGCCTCTCTTACCTATATACCTAGCCCTCTAAGACTTGTATGGTTAGTTGGAAGTGTTCATATTTTTTGTGTTCATTCATCACTTATTTCTGGATCAGGGACTGAGACCTTGCCACATGTCTTTTGTATCCCTTGCTCCTTTGGACTTTAAAGTTTGATTAATCTAAACAAATTTTTAGGAGGTAATAACCAGTTTAGATCTAGTAGTAGCTTAGGAGTGACTTAGTGAGCAAGATCTCAGAACATTGTCCAGAAGATAAAGAAATGGAAAATGAGAGAGAAGTTAAAAGATAGGAAGAATGGAGTAGGTTACACACAAAAACACACAGCACATACAAACACATACGTAAATCTTAGAAGAGAAAGGAATAGAAGAAGGCAATATTCAAAGAGATAATAGTTGATAATTTTCCTGACTTGAAGACAAATACTTGAAACTTGTGGCTTAAAAGCACACTCAGCGCCATTATATATACATAAAACTAGATGCCTGGTAGTGGAAGTACAGAACACAATTAAAAAAAAAAAGTCTTGGGGCACCTGGGTGGCTCAGTTGGTTAAGCATCTGAATTCAGCTCAGGTCATGATCTCACAGTTTGTGGGTTCAAGCCCCACAACAGGTTCTGTGCTGATAGCTCAGAGCCTGGAGCTGCTTCGGATTCTGTGTCTCCCTCTCCCTCTACCCCTCCCTGCTTACACTCTGTCTCTCTCTCTCTCTCAAAAATAAATAAATATTAAAAAAAATTTTTTTAAGGCTTTAGAGCAACTAGAGAGGAAAATACAGATAAATTTACAAAGGAGGACATTTATACTGACAGCTGTAGTAGACAACAGAACACCGCAAAACAGTATCTTGAAAATGCTGAAAGAAAAATAAGCCAACCTAGAATTCTACACCCATCTAAATTATCATTCAAGAGTCGTGATGGAATAAACATTTCAAACAAATTAAGATTACACCACTATTGGAATGTTTACTGAAAGAATTGTGAAAAATGTATTTCCCAAAAGAAGAAAAATAAGCCCAGATAAGGGAATAAGGAGCAAAATGGAAAGGTGAATAAAAAGATATGTGGGTATATATAAGTAAACATCTACTGTTTAAATAGTAATTATAATGTTGTCTTAAAGAGTAGTAGGATAGTAGGGAACTAAAGTATTAGGCAAAAATAATATATAAGATAATTGATATCAGAGGAGTGATGAGAATAGTACTTTTTATGGTATATAAATGTACAATAAAAATTTTTTTAATTAATATATACTACTTGGGAAAAAGTTGTTGGGAGAGCAGATTATCTGTACAATCTCCATGTCGTTACAAGTTCTATGCCTTTAATTAAAATTCTTGATAATATCCTGATATTTTAGGTGGTTTATGCTGTAATTTCTATATTATAAAAATAAAAGTCTTATTAGAAAAAAATAGGTAAGATAATTTAGAAAATAAAATTGAGGAAGGTGTTATAGGAAGTGGTTCTACCAAGAATGAATTATTATTTTTTTTTTTTATTTTTATTTTTTTTTAAAAAATGAATTATTTTAAAACTATAACAAGAAAACGTGATATTAGTGCAGAATAGACAGACCATTGTAATAGAATATAGAATCCAGAAATAGAATTACACTTATATGGAAAGGATGGATTGTTCATCCAATAGTATTGAGTTATTGGTTAATATAGAAAAAAACAGCCAGTCCTTCTTTTATCCAACCAAATAAATTACTCAACAAATAAATTCCCAAGTGTGGCAAACAAAACAAATTTATATTTTAAAAAGGAAAAACGTATGGCCTCAGTGTCTAGAAGAATTACTTGAAGACATAAAGCCCACCTACCACAAAGTAAAAGATAAATTGAACTATAGTCAAATAAAAACATTGAAATCAAAAGACTTCATAAGCAAGGTGGAGATACGAAACACAAATTGAGAAAACATATCTGTAACATAAAATTAATAAAGAATTAGTATCCAAATTTATATTGAGAACTTATACAAAGAAGGAAAGCAACAAATGATATGATTGGACATCTCACAGAAGAAGAATATGAAGTAGCCTGCAAAGAAACAAAAAGTTTTTCTCACTTATTTTTGACTCTCATAATGTAAACTCTAAACAATAGGATATGAGTTTATACCCATCAAATTGATTAATGTCTGATAATACCAATTGCTGGTGACCTTGTGCAGCAGAAACCTTCATACAATGCTATTAAGAGAGTATATTTGGTACAGTCCCCTTGAAAAACAATTTGTTGATACCTATGAAAATTGAAGGTGCCTATTTCTTATGATTAATTCTAGACATATATCCTAATAGTATTTTTTTTTGTGCCTCAGATCTCTTTTGAAAGCTAGAATAATGTTTTAAGTCTGTATAATAAAATACATAGGATTAAAATGGAAACTGATTATACTGAAATAGTTACAAAAATTTTTAAATATGTGATGTAGTATGCATTATTAGTGCATACTAATAAGAGCAACTGAAAGATCTAATAGCTGTCAATTTCAAAGTAATTTGATTGATGTAAATGGTATTTTGAGATAATCTATAACCACTGTTACATGATATCAAAATATCTAGGGCTATTGGTGACAAAAATCACAAGGATTGCTGAGTGCTTTCAGGTATATATATTCATAATTGATGTATGGGCTTATTTCTGGACTGTCAACACTATTCCTTTGGTCTATACATCTGTCCTTATGCCAGTACCACACTTTTTTGATTGCTGTAGCTTTGTAATAAGTTAAGAACCTGTGTCCTAGACACACACTTTAATGTATGTCCAGGGAGATTAATACTGTAACACCACTGCAGTATTGAGTAGCAAAAAATGGGGAAGAGTCTAAAGATTAATCAATAGGAGATTATATAAATTGTGATATATTTAGATAGTGAGTAACTGTAACAGTGATAATGAACAAAGCCAAGTTACAATAATATGGTAGATATCTTGTAGTCTCCTTGTGTATCATCACGGGTGATCTCAATACTGAATGAAAACAAGCTTTCAAAGAAAACATACTCTGTAACATCATTTTATGAAATTTTAACATTTTAACACAAAGTGTAAATACCCATTTGGGAATGGTATGTCCAAATTCAGGCTAGTGGTTATTAAAGGGTAAGGAATAGTGACGGGGAAGGACAATCTAGTTACATAGGAGACTTTAATTATATCTAGAATGTTTATTTATGTGATGGACACATTATTGTATGCCTGGAATATTTTGTTAAAATATGTATTGCATGTTTTGATAGAATATTAATATGGCAGAGATAGTTTCAGTTTTAATATATGGAATAATTCAGAGTTTGTTTATTTGGGATTTTGTCAAGGGAAGATCAACAAATTGTTTTTCCCTAGTTCATCTCAGAGAAGTGAATTAACTTACATAGTGCCAGGTACTTTAAACGTGATAAAGCATACCTAGTAGATTAATATATTCATAAAGAAAATTCTGATCAAAGCAAAGACAGAACTAGAATTTATATTTAGATCTTTTTACCTCCAAAATCTCATACCATATTGTTAAGTTGCATATCTAGCAATAAATGACTTATTTTAGAAGTGGTAAGTTAACTGCACCTACAAAATGAGACCATCTCTGAGGCATACATTAACAATAAAGATGCTGAAGTAATCTCAAGCATGACATTATAATCTAGTTTTCTTAAAGATACTTTAGCCTGTTGTCATACTGCTGAAAGGCTAAAGAAATTATTGGTCTTTAGCAACTGTAGTGTTCCTGTTTGAAACAGTATTGATCATCATAATTTAGTACACATTTAGCATTTAAAATTATTTTTGTGTGTTTTTCCATTTGAACTATTTTATTTTTATCCAAGTATAATTAACATAGTGCTATATTAGTTTCAGGTGTGCTGTATGATTCAACAATTATACCTTTCTCAGTACTCATCATGATAGTGTACTCCTAACAGCATTTGAATTTAACTGTGTGACTTCGTGTTTTGTTATTTTAAACCACGTTCTGTTCTGGTTCTTGATTTTAGGATCGAAAATTAACAAAGTCTGAGAGGCAGAGATTTAAAGAAGAGGCAGAAATGTTAAAGGGCCTTCAGCATCCCAATATTGTTCGATTCTATGATTCCTGGGAGTCCACAGTAAAAGGGAAGAAGTGCATTGTTTTGGTGACTGAACTAATGACATCTGGAACACTTAAAACGTAAGTCTATCAATATTATCAAAATTGACCAAGAAGTACGAAAGAACTTGAATTTTCCTATTTTATCAGTCCTGCTTTTTGTCACCCAGTGTACCATGGAGGGAACAATCCTTCCAACTGTTATTAGCACATTTTCTTGCCCACAAAGTCCTCTGGTGTATAAAATGATTTGATAATTATTCAGTAGTAATATTAAAATGAGAAGTTATTACAGAATAAACCTAGTTATTTTAAACCCTGTTGATTTGGGGTTCTAAAGTTGAATGGCTAAGGGATTGCGAAATCAAATGGCAAGGTAGCCCTCTAGTGGTTAAAATGAGGTTGAAGCTTATTGAGAGGACTTCTCCATTTATTTTTATCACCTTGTACAGTTTTTGCTGCATATCTGCAACTATTATGTCAAATGCAAATTGTGCTGTAGCAGTTATCACTAGTTTCATTTGTTATAGTATTAGAAATTAATGCCCAAACAGCTAGACTCATCATTTCTTTCAGGAAAACAGGTCAAATGCAGAAATTTCTTGTTCCCTATTACAGAGTTTTAAAGAGTTGGAGTTTAGCCTTTGGGAATCACAGGTGTTTTCCTCACTCAGAGAGGAAAGTACAAACGACCCTTGAACAGCATGGAAATTAGGGGTACTCACCCTCCATGTAGTTGAAAATCTGAGTATAACTTTTGAATCCTCCAAACAATTACTTAATGGCCTACTGTTCCAGCTTACTGGAAGCCTTACTGATAACATAAACAGTTGATTAACACATATTCGTATATGATATGTATTATTTACTATATTCTTTTTTTTTATGTTTATTTTTGAGAGAGAGCACAAGCAGGGGAGGGGCAGAGAGAGAAGGGGACAGAGGATCCAAAGTGGGCTCCATGCTGACAGCCCAGTGTGGGGCTCGAACTCATGAACTGTGAAATTGTGACCTGAACCGAAGTCAGACGCTTAACCAACTGAGCCACCCAAGCACCCCTTCTTTACTGTATTCTTATAATAAAATAAGCTAGAGAAAATAAAATTATGAGAAAATACATTTACAGTGCTATACTGTAAAAATCTGCATATAAGTAGACCTGCAATGTTCAAACCTATATTATTCAAGGGTAAACTGTAGTATAAATTATATGGTTTAAATTTTTTTATTGTGAAGGAATTGGATTTTTTTTAAGTGTCTTTTTTTGTTTGTTTGTTTAAGTTTATTTATCTTGAGAGAGAGGGAGAGAGGGAGAGCAAGCCAGGGAGGGGCAGAGAGAGAGAATCCCAAGCAAGCTCCATGCTGTCAGCATGCTGTCAGTGCACAGAGCCCGAAGTGGGGCTCAAACTCATAAACCATGAGATCATGACTTGAGCTGAAACTAAGAGTTGGACGCTTAACTGACTGAGCCACCCAGGTGCCCCAGATACAGATTTTTTTTAATTGTCTCTTTAGTATGTATTAATTTCTGACTACTTTTCTTTACTTAATACTACTGAGCTGATTCATCACAGGTCTTTGAAACATAGTTTTATATTTCCTGAATGTAGTCACTTGCATGTGTTCTTGGATGCTTAAGATTAACACACTGAAAAGCCAACAAATTATTTCCCCCTAGCAAATTCTAGTTTCCACACCCAGCTTCTCAAGTATTTATGGCAACATCTTTACCCTAGTCATCCAAGCTTCTTGTTATCCAGATGTCTTTTTCTTTCACTAGACTGTGCTCCCTAGCACTATGCTTTAAACTTGGTAAGTATTTGAATGAATTGAGGGAAATTGTGTGGTAGTAGTAGTTTGTGTGTATATCTTCATCTTGAGATTCTTTTCACCACTTTGGACATATTAATGGACTGTCAGTAGTCTGTCAGGCATACCCTACAGGAGTACTCTATAACAGTTTATTTGTTTTAAAAAGTTTATTGAAAGGCTTTGGGTAACATAGACTAAGCTTCTTTGGAATTCCACCCCCCCCCCCACCATCAACAAACTAAAATGTGGAATATAATAAAAGCTTTTTCAGTACATACCCAAGTTTTTAAAGAAAGAAAGAGTGACCTCCAGATGAAAGGACAAGTGAAGGTAACTAAAGACCTAAACAGTAACCAATGTTTTGGCAGTCTGTTGGGTTTTCACATCATATATAGGGCTTGAGGTTTGGATACCAAGAGTTTTATTGTCCATGCCAGGACAAAAGGCCTTAGAACTCAGTAGAGAGGGGAACTTGAACTTAGCTTGTGTCAAAAACCTGAATTATTAATTAAAAGGGAGAACTCTTCACCCCAGCCAGTGAAAGCTACAAGGAATTTTGCCCTCTGCCCAGCACTTAGGATAAGAGGGGGAGTCCCTATGAAAAAAACCAGAAATCTCAGTTTAGGTCATGTGTAGATGGCTCTATAATATAAATGTAGACTACCAGCTTGGTGCAGGGATCACAAATCAAGGAATGAAGATTCTAATTGGTCCAGAATCCAATGAAAACTCCGAAGGACATTTTCAGCATTTCATTGGTCATTATGTACGTGGATAAAACAGCCCCCAGTGAAGGTGACCTCACAAATTACAAATCACACACAGTAATATGATGATCAGATACAACTGGAAAATAACATTGGAATTAAAGATGCTATTGACAACTCTGAAAGTGAATACAAAATAAGCTTATAAGTACAAAAAGATGGGGACTTGTCAGGAAGATGGCGGCGTAGGAGGACGCTGGGCTCACCGCGCGTCCTGCTGATCACATAGATTCCACCTACACCTGCCTAAATAACCCAGAAAACCGCCAGAGGATTAGCAGAAGGGAGTCGCCGGAGCCAAGCACAGACGAGAGGCCCACGGAAGAGGG